ACACAGTTGACCTGAGTTGTACTTCAACTTGGGCAGGACTTTCATTTTGAAGGAAATCCCCTCCATCACCACCACCACCCTATCTGTGGATGGACAGAGATCATGACCAGAGATACTGTGAGTGTTACCCGAACAGAGAAAATCTGATTTTCACACATTTAAAGATTTTCAAGACTCGCTGAATCCAAATATGCTGTCTGAGTCAAAATGAATGACATGAGTGTTGAGATGAATTCCTCAGCAGGTTGCAGTGGCCCTGAGGAGTAAAACTGGGGGGTGTTTTTCCACGACCATCTATGGATTACCTTATATTTTAATTACCTTTCAAAGTAAATTCCATAGAAGAAAATAAAGATAAAAAAAGAGAAGTGGCTCCTGTGTGCGCCAGACTCTGTTCAATATTTAGATAAATTACTGTGTCCTTGGTTTGCAACCAAGAAAGTGAGTTTTATAGCAACTCCAAATTTGTGCTTGAATTATGCAAGGAGGTTTTAATGAATTCAACAATGGATGTTGGTTACAGAGAATTTCTCCTCTGCAGAGATGTGCAGCCCTCATGTAGCATCCCAACCGAAAAACTCAAATAAAAAACAAAAAACAAAACCATGAAGGTCAAGTATTCCCCACAGTGTGAGACAATCTTCTCAGTAGGATATGTACCTCTGCTTGGAATAATGTTTGAAGCCGTATTTCACAAATGTACAAGTTTGTCTTTTGTGAATTAAGCATGCTAATTTGCAATAATAAAGGTGTTTTTCTGACCTACATTTCAAACTTAAAACCATAATTTTTAACCGTTCAGTTCTCCAAACTTTAGTGAAGCTGGGCTAAAGCTGTTCACCTTCACCTGTCCTCCTTAAGATGGGAGATTGTGGGAAGAAAACCGACATAAGCCTGAAAGTCTGATCAATATTTTATTCTGGATTTGAAGGCTGACCCGACTGGTTTACTCCGTGGTGTCATGAGTCATCTTTGTGACATTGTCAATGATTTGATCAAAGTAATTTATACTTTTAATGGACATTGGTGATGTGGCTGATTTCC